TAGATTTGGAAAGGTTTACTCCAGACGTACAAGCTCAAGCTGTAATCCAAAGCAGATTCACATGCAAGCAGTAGACAGGATATTGCACTACCTTAAAGGGAGACCAGGAAAAGGAATTCTCTTTAAGAGAGATCGTGGAATAACCCTATAAGTATACACGGATGCTAACTACGCAGGATCACTGGTTGATAGAAGATCTACCTCTAGGTATTGCACATTTCTTGGAGGTAACTTAGTCACATGGAGAAGCAAGAAACAGAATGTGGTAGCAAGATCCAGTGCAGAAGCAGAATATCGAGCTATGGCCTTGGGAATATGTGAGCTACTATGGATCAAAATAATCCTAGAAGATCTAAAAGTTAAGTGGGATGAGCCCATGAAACTACACTGTGACAACAAATCAGCAATCAGCATAGCCCACAATCCAGTCCAGCATGACAGGACCAAGCACATAGAAGTGGACAAACATTTTATTAAAGAAAAACTAGACAGTGGTCTAGTAAATGTTGACCATGTATCATCAAAGGATCAACTTGCATATATCCTTACTAATGGATTGAACAGTTCTGCCTTTCTCCGAATGCTTGACAAGCTGGGAATGACGGATCCATATTCCCCAGCTTGAGGGGGAGTGTTAAATCTCAACCTCAAGATCCAAAAAGAATCCACGGCTGTGAACAGTAATATGTGGGAAGATCACCTGAATCACATTAATTACTTCCATAGTTGATTTAGGAATAATTGTATTCTCATTATTCTAGAGTTATTTGTTTCCTTATCAATACACCTTGTACAGATCTATAAATAGGGAGTAGATTGTATAATAAAATTCAAGCTTTTCCCTCTCAAATTCTCAGTTTTAACAAAAACAATATCCTAAAAATACCCATACGTCAATATCTTGCCATGATGTACTGCCACCTACTCCAAAATTCATTCACACGAGAATATATATAGATAGGATATGAACATTCCCCTTACACATTTTGCACCATCCATCAAGATATTTGAATGTTAAGATTTGAAGTAATCAAAAGAAACCTTTTCATCTTAAATGACCTTTAGATATTTTAAATTTTAATCATTCAAATTTGTTGACAGATAATATAATGAGTAAAAGCTTCAAATAGCCCCTCCGACTATTGATAAATGTCCAATTTAAACCCAGAGTTTCACATTACTCTAATTTTGTCCCTCAATTATTAAAATTGGCTAATTTAGTCTCAAAGTCTAAAATAAAAGTTGAAGTTAACTTCAAAGTTAAATATGAAGGATATTTTAGGTACTACAAGAGGATATGAGATTACATTACATATATTATTTAATTTTATTATTTAATAAATTATAGTACATATTTAATCTACTAAATAAGGGCGAATAAATAGTGAAAAAATTTTACTTTTTTTTAAAGCAAAATCTAACATGATAAAAATTACAATTTCATATCATTTAAATATAATAAAAATATCACAAGTTAATTTCATATCATTTAGTTTATTAACAAATCAAATTTAATTTATGTTTTAATTTTAACTTACATTTTAAGTAAAAGTTACTTAATAATTCTAATTTTAATTATTGTTAATAAATTACAATTACAATAATAATATAGCTAGAAAATAATTTAATTATGAAATAACTTATTAATTTTAATTTTGATTCTATTTTTAATTATTTATGAGTTATTATTAATTCTTAGTTTTAATTATCATTATTAACTAACCATTATAAATAATATAATTAAAATCTAAGTTCATGATCGATTAATCTACATAATTAATTATTTATTAATTACATCATACTCTTAATTAATTCTAATTAAAATAGTTAAAGTAAATTAATTTGTTTATATGTTAGATTTCTCTGGCAATGCTTATTCTGCTGTCTTGCTATAGCCACAAGTTTGCTTTTCCTCTTCTCTGGCTATTTGTTGTTCTTTGACTTCATCTGCTTTACGTGAGAGGTAAAGTTTTGAATGAGTCACTAAATAACTTCTTCGCCTCCTTTGATGATGTTCATTCCTATCGGATCCAATGTCACACCTCCTCGTCGTTCTTTTGTAGGATTGGAAGTAACAACGGGAACTTGCTCGTTGTGAAGGTAGCCATCTTTCTTCCTATATCCAAACAGCCTCGCTGGGTGTCTAGCTCGCGGTGTGTTCTGTCTAGCAACCGCACATGAATCTGGAATGTGAATCAAAGCACGTCGCACCGCATCTCGCGAGCCAGCAAAGGCCGCCTTGCTTGCTTGCGTCGCCTTGTTTGCAGTTTCTTCCTCACACAATTCGGTGTCCATGGCTTACTACGGGAAGGCGAGAGAGCATATAACAAGTAATTTTATCTAAATGCCCAGAAAGAAGCGAAGCTCTCCAGCTTTTTCCATTAATTTAAATGGAAAATTTATCCCAGGGACCAAATTGGACAATTTTTAGTAGTTGATGGACCAAATTAGGGCAATGCAAAACTCTTGGACTAATTTGATATTATTCCCAGATCTTATACACACAAATAAAACTGAAACTGAGAACCAATGAATCTTGTTCTAAAAGTTTCTTCTTTGGCTTAATAAGTTTTATATATTTTACAAATTATTAATTTAAGTTAGAGATTCCATAATTAAGTTGCTGAAACTTTGTGGTTAAGAGTGATTTCTGTAAGGCTAGGAAAGATCATTAGAGCAATAAATAGATTTGAGCTTCCTCCAAAAATAGAGGCGAGCTTCTGAGGCATGTGCTACATTTTTTGTCCTCTTTCATAGCAAAAGGACAAGAAACTCAATAGAACAATGAATTCAACTTATTAACAATGTTTTCTCACTTTAATGCCAAATTCAGTGCAAATAGAAGAACTAATTTAGAAGAAGCACCAGCTACATTACTAATAGACTAAATCTTGACTCAATTTCATAAGAACTCAAAAATATATAAGTGATATACCTCTCCTTTTCAGAACACAAGGCTGAAATATCATAGATGCCTTTATTGGTGAGGATCCTGAAGTTTTTTCATGGTAATAATTAGAAATAAAGCATGCAGGGGAAAAATATGCATGATGATGTAAAGCTTTAGCTTTATTGTTGAATACGATGAAATAGAATGATTAAAGTGGAAACTACTAGAAAATCATAAAGCAATTAGAGCTTATACAGATATAAAATTACAATTAAAAGTGACAACATTTGAAAACCTTAGGCACTTAACTTGTATTAATGACTTTTAACTCAAAGAGGAACATTGACAAATTTGTATCTGCATCAACCAAATCACTTGGAATCCAAATTGAAGATGGGTTTTAGAGTTAGTTAACTGTCAAGGGATTGCAAACCTTTGTTTTGTCCATTGTAGAACATGTCACCTAGGGAATAAAAGGCATGATAACTTTACATCATCCCCTTCTTCTACAGGCTTATCACCAGCAGTCTATTACTTGGCAAGCCATCAAACAATTCATGGTAGTCACACACAATACAGAGAGGAAGTTAGAGGGCCCATACCGCATGGCCAACCCTTAGCTCACTGGAACTGCAAACATAAAGTGTTTGCAATCAACAGAGACATTTTTGTTAGCTTTACACTCAAATCAAATTATGCAGGTCAAAGTTCTAGGGAGTTAGCAGCACATAGTATCAAAATAATCTAGCCAAATTCTTTGCCATCAATCTCCAAAAAACTAAGTCCATCAATTTCATGGGATTTCATGATTTGGTGTTCTTGTTGGAGAACGTAAATGGAAAGAAATATATCAACATTATGGATATCCATTCATTCTCTTGTATAGATGCTTTGTAGAACCTTCTTCTATTTATCTCAATAGGCATTCTGACAGTCAAATGCTAAAATAAAAACTCTAACAAAACCTTTCTGATGCATAGACTCATACAAAAAGGATTCAGCATAATTTTTTAGATAAAAAGACAGAATCAACGGGAATTGAGTTAGTTGCGTGCAATATATTAGGGCCCAAAACTATGTTTGTGGGCTCCGGAAATTCGCAATTCGGCCTCTCCGTGGTCTCTTTCTTTCTTCCGGGCCATTTTGGAGAGTTTTAACAAGTATGTTCCAGGGTAAAGTTTCAGAATGCATATTGGGTTTTAAATAAGACACTACCCAGAGATTTCGCCCTCATTTTGCGAGGACTTTATGATCAGAATTCTAGTTTCCTATAGGCGCAAGCCCCTATAGTTAATTACCCCTCCCCATAGAGAGAGATAACTTTCGATAAAGGCTAGTCATCAAACAGATACATAGTATCTGGCATATAATAACAGTGTTTAGGTATTTAAAACAAAGTTTAAAATTGAAAATTTATCATCTTGCACTTAAAGAGGATGGTGGGGGGTGATGATAGACCCGATCAAGATCTCATTATTCTATCATCCTGAGTCATCATGATCCCTAGTCTATTTAGTCAGAGGTAATCAACCCAACCTAACAGAAGGATCCTTGTTGGCAACCATGGGTTGCTTCATCTAAGGGTACCTTGTAGACCTATGGTGAATATTTGTTTAAGGGGATAAATTTGAATCACCTTAACTAAAAGAGAGCTTTGTGCCCTATCGGTCATATCATATTGATCATTACTCAATGATTTAGAGCTGTTTGAGAACATATAGGCTCTGACCATGACCGTACTTTAATGGTGCAATTTGGCAACAAAATCACTCAGTCAGAGCATCCCGATCATGAAAGTGCAGAACACCCTTGTGTTGGGCAGAGACGGGTAAAAGAAAAATAATTGGTATTGAATTGGTGGATGATGTTACCAACAAGATCAAATTGATCAGAGAAAGATTAAAGGTAGTACAGGACAGACAATAAAAATATTATGATGCAAAGCACAGGCCAGTTAAGTTCGAAGTAGGAGAATTTATTTTTCTTAAAGTCAGTTCAATGAAGGATTTACAACAATTTGGAAAGACAAGAAAATTAAGCTACAATTCATTGGTCTTTTTGAAATTATTAAGAGGATAGGAAATATAGCCTACATATTGAACCTGCCAGTAAATATACAAGGGATACACAATATGTTTCACATATCAGTGCTTTGAAAGTATGTATCAAATGGGTCAAAAAGAATCAAGTAAAAATCAATTGACTTGCTGCCTGATTTGAAATATGATGAATAACCTGAAAGAATACTGGAATAGATGTGAAACAACTGAGGAATTAGGAAATAACTTTTATGAAGATTTTATGAAAACATGGAATAGAAAGAGATGCCACTTGGGAGAAAGAAGATGAAATGAAAGTTCAATATCCTCATCTATTCAATTAAGGTATGATATTTATTCTTGTTATTAAATTTCGAGAATAAAACTTTTATGAGGGGAGATTGTAAGAGCCGATGTAAATTGGTATGTTCAATTGAACCGGTCAGCCCTAACTTCTAAACCGCATGAGCAGGAGCGAAACCAAGAACGCACCGAAACTGGGCGGACAACACGTAAGCTCAGCGGCCTCAATTGGGCTCGATTCGCGATTCTGAGCGAAGGAACGTGTATGGGGATGAAAGTAAATGACTCCTCTCTAAGTATAACTTCCTCATCTTCGTTCATTGTTGCAAAAAAAGCAAAAATTTAGAGAAGAGGCGATGAACGAGAGGAAGAAGCAGGAAGGTTCGTTTATCTTTTTTTTATTCATTTATGTATAAATCCTTTCATATTACTTCATCTAAATATTGAAGGATGTTTAATTAAAGGCAGAAGAAGAGATTGAAAGAGGAAAGGAACAAATTTAGAGAGATAGTGGAAAGAATTTAGGGATTTCCTTCTGAAGTTTTTTTTATTCTCTGATAGCAGAATAAAGAGTAAGTGTTTAAATTACTAATTAAGTTCGACTTAGATAAGAATTTCTATTCTCATTTTCTAATTAAAGAAACATTATTGTTGTAAGAAGAATCCAATTATAGTAAGCTTTGGTTCGACAATAAAGGAAGAAGAATTGTAAGAAAGAAAATTTTCTACGAGGTAATTATTTTTTTTAATAAAAATTTTGGGATGAATTAGAGCTCTTTTATGTTATGATTAATGTTTAATTAAGTAAAAGTCCTCTTTAAAAATGTTTGAAGTAAATTAGGTTATTGTAAGAAGAATAGGAATCCTTCATGTTGCTTTGAAGATGTATTTGGGTACTCTAAGTTGAAGTTTTATATTAATTAAGATCTCATTAATATTATTTGAAGAATGAAAGATTTTCATAATTATGTTGAGACGAATATTGAAATCTATAGCAAAGCTCGGGGTTTGAAAATATTCAAAGTGGGTAATTATAGTTGTGTATAATTTTATAATAGTATTTTTGTTTCAATTCTAAAAGTAATATTTTATATAACTATTTTACTTATTTTTAAAGACTATTAAGAGTAAGGCAATATAAATTCAAATGCATATATGATGGTGAAAATTTGACATATAAATTGTTATGACTGAAAATATACATTAATTATCATGAATATGAAGGTGTATGAATATATACACATAAGAATACAAAGGATTAGGGAAAAAATGATATAACTTATAAATTATAAATAAAAGTATAAATGCAAAAATAAAAATAATATGTATGCAAATTACAGGAGCTCACCTTCATATGATACTAGCTGGGGAAGCTACATACTCGTGCACATTAATGAGCTTCTACTACTTTATCAGCTCATTAATGCAATTAATTAGATTCATTTCCCCTTACTTTGGCTCCTTGGTTTCCCCCACCTTGGTTCTCCCCCCCCCATCCCCCCATGGCTTGTATCTTCCTATTCTTGTGTCTCTTTGGTTTCTTCCTTGTGAGTAAATGTTGTGGGCTAGTTGTCTTTTCATTTCTTCTCCTTGGCTGCTTTCCCGTGACCCTTCTGCCCTGTTTCCTATGTTGGCTCATCGGGTCCCTCTCTGGCTATTTTCCCGTGGCTTGCTAGCTGGGTTTCCCGTGGCTTTTCTTCCTGTTTTCTATGCAGAATTTGGGGGCTGTTGTGGTGTCTTTTGGCCTTTCATTTCCCCAAACCTGATTGGTTTTGGTTGGAGGCGGAATGGCTGTTTGACTTCTTTCTTTTGCTTATAAATTGGAGATATTTTGAAATGAAAAAGGGTGATAATGTGATTTTTGGACAGCAAAACCCGAGGGTTTTTCTTGGAAGAGCTTGAGAGCTTGTTCCACTTCTTCCTCTCCTACTTGGGAAAGCTTGCGAGCTTGTCCTCCTATCTTTCCTCTCGGGCTTCTTATCTCATTCTTCTATCCGCAAGTTCCCTTCTACTTGTATCTTTCTTCTCAAGCAAAGGAAATGCAACTTTAGGTGTTTTATGGTTGTCAAGAGTTGTAAGGTAATTGTTTATATTTGTGTTTGTAAGTGTCAAAGTTTGTAAGAGTTTTTTACCTTATAAAAAGTTATATTTTATCATATTTGTGTCTTTTTGGGTATATTTGTGTAAATTTTTTTTATCCTTGGAAGAGTAGTCTTTGCTTGCAAAAATTTGGGGCTTTTCCCAAATTTTTGCTTGCATCAATTTGGTATCAGAGCCAAGTTTGTGTCTTCCTAGGTCTCTCTTTTCGTATTTTTAAGTGTTTAATAAAATGGAAAATCACAAAAAATTGAATCAGTTGTGGAAGAAAGCAATCCAGAAGTTTCTGAAGTCCATATGGATAGATGGATTCCGACGGAAGGAAATTTGACATATCCCTTACAGAATGAACTATACAATCTCCAAGTGAAGATGCATTTGTGTACGGAGCGGTATATGAAAAAGAAACAACTTTTACAAGAACAATTCAAGCGAGAGCGAGACGAGGTCTTGAAAAGGTATGCAGCAAAAATTCAAGAGCTTGAAGCACCTTCTTTGCCTCCTCGGAAGAAATCTAAAGACAACTTATTGGGAGATGAGCATTTTCAACCAGAGGAGAATTGATGTAGGCAAGGGGGGTAAAAAAAATGAATATTTTGTTCTTTGGGCTGCTTGTTGTCTCACGGTTTGGTCCTTAGCTGCTTTGGTTTTGAGCTAAAATTT